GGTTCTGGAAAACAAGGAACCATGCGATAGGGCTCTCTGACCACTCAGCTGTCGTCAGGCCGCATCCTGGCAGCCACTCACCTCTTTCCATAGCCGGTTGAGGCTCTTGAGGGCAGATTTGAGGGTATTACGCTGGGCCCCACCCACCACCTCAGCGAGCATCAGGCTCTGCACTTCTACCTGCAGGGCAGAGAGAGAGGATGGGCTCAGGTGGCTGGCCACAGTCCACTTCACCGCCCCCTATAAGAACACAGGCCACGCCGTGGATTGCAGACAGAGCTCAAACAGAAGCAGCGAGGGATTCACTGATCCTGAAAACACTGCAGCACCAAGTCGTTTCTGTGAACCTGCATGGCACATGAATCTCAGGTGGCTTCAGTCTTCCTGTCATGTCGCAGTCATAGTTAGACCATCAAAATCAATGGCACTCCATCATAAAAGGCAGCAATGCCAACGCGAGACACGGGCCATTCACCCACCTAACCAATCAACCAGCATTCTCCTGCAGAAAATACTACGCCATTTACTTTCAATGATGTTTTAATAACTAATCAGGGACCAAGATGAAAGGCAGCGGGAGTGGCTTCTCCCAGTTACACACCAGCTTCTTCCAGGTGGGGCCCTCTCTGGTCTCCGGGGTGGGACACACAGCTCGCACCAGCAGACAGGTCCAGGACAGGCCCATGGAAGCGGCAGGAGCAGTGCCTTTACTGCAGGGGGGGGGGAGAGGCAGGCACAGTGCCCAGTGCATTCAAGTCACTCTACATTTCATTTACTTCTCCCATCTCAGTACTAAGGACATCAGAAAATCATTAGGAACTGGGAGTCGGCCACGAGACAACAGCAAGAAACCAGAAAAGTGACCAACTAGAAATGGGTGGAACCTAAAGGGTATAATCCCACACACTCCTGAAGGCGCAAGACATGGTGCCATGATTTTAGCTACATTTAAGTATCTGCTGGCTATTTGCTCACCACCCTTCACTGCTAGACAACAGAACAAGCACAGAAGTCACAAAGACCTCCTTCACTCCATCTGCGCCTCCTCACCCCTTGTGCCTCCTTACCTGGGCAACCCGGTCTTGCTAATGATGCCACTGTTGAGCAGGCAGTGGAGGAGGCTGGTCGCTGTGACAGCAGGCTGGGTAGCAGCCAAGGTGCTGATGACAGAATGCAAGGCTCTGCGAGAGGCAGCATCCCTGAGGCAGCACAGACAGGAAAGGTGACGACCTCGTGCACGCACAGTCACGCACCACATTGAAGGTAGCTCTGTGGAGCCTGTGCCACCTTCACTGCACCAAGTGTGTGCCCCTGTGCTTCAAGTAAACTGCTTGACTACAATATGGAATTTCTCTGCATTAGTGATATGCCTGCACAGGGTAGAGCCTGGAGGAGACCCCAGACACTGCTCATTTGCAGAGCTAAAAGAACAGTAATAAGATCAAGATGGCACCACTGACCTGTATCTGTGCAGCGCCAGGCAGAATAGTTTGCAGAGCCCCTTGACCGCAGGCTCAGGCAAATCTGCAATGGAACACCACAGTGTTACTACATCACAACTCATGTTCACAAAGAAAAAAAAAAAACACGTGGCACAAGAATAGCAGATACTTTTAATCAAGCGACAGCTGTGACTCAAGTCTGAGATGCCTGCATCTCCAGGACACCACCTCGTAGTGACTGAGGTTCATAGAGGTGGCTTCTGAACTCTCACCTCGGCCAGAGACACACTGCTTCAGCTCCTCAAGCACATGCCTGCGCTCTCTCACACTGGCTGTGGTCACTTTCTGGGCAAATCTCTTCAGAGTCTCTGAAACCTAAAGGAGGCAAACAGAGCCATACAGTTATCCCAGCTGCTCCACAAATGTAGATGCAGCAACCTACTACACATTTATACAATCACAAAGCACTTCACACAATTTTTGATGCACAACACCGACACTTATCTGCAACTTAACCAAAATAGGTAACTTTTTGGATAAATCTCTACAAAGATCTCATTTGATGTGCCATCACTCTAGTGCATGATAAGCCACTTAAAATGACCATCAGCGTTTATATGAAGTAATTTAGACTACTTAAGTTTGGGCAGCTAAGAGGAGGGGCGCATACAGTTGCTAAATTACTGTTGGAGTTACGTTGTGAAGGAAATCTATATGCCAAATGCAAATACTGCACATCATCATATGCGACAGGAGGTCACGAGTAAAAAGTTCACTAGCGATAGTAAAATATAGATAGTAACTTGACGATTCAGCGGTCAATAAAACGTGATTTCGTTCTCCCTACTAAGATGACTACAATAAAATAAGTTCTGTGACAACCCATTCTTGTATAACTTTCGATACGTTTTTATTCAGACTATTTAACGACTCGGAGGTCTGTAAGACACCATCTTGAAATGTTTGCACTTGTGCACAGCTTTTACACAGCACAACCCCCCCGTTTTCCACTCACATTGCCAAATAGACACATATAGATTTTTTACTTCATTCACAAACAGTGGGAAAAGTTCGACACACTTCCTTTTTAGTGATTAAATTGGCTATAATTATCAGTGTGTTGGCTACACTCGATGAGGGAAGATTCAACCAGATTTCTAAATTAAGCCACACTCATACCTGCGTGTCCGCCGCCATCTTGCCGGTGTCGATCTAGGAAGAGCTCGTGGGATCACTTCCGGGTGATTACGCCATCGGCACGTGGTACTGGCTGACGTATATAAACGCACGGGGCTGGCTAGGCTGTGGCGCTCCTTTCTCTTTGCTAGGTTGT